AGCGATGATGGCGAGCCAAAGACGACAAGTACGTAAAACGCGAGAATACCGCGTGAATACTAAAAAAACGGAAAGTAAAGCATATGGCAGCATTGAGAAGACCCCGAAGCGAAAAAAGCCTATGCTTTTTAAACAGAAATATAGGATGTGGTCTCTATTCAAGTGATTGTCTATATTGCTCTCAGGCTAATAAATAACACAAAATACTTCCAATGAGTTTTCTTATGACTGGATGCGTTGCGCATGGGTGTGCATTTTAATCAAGCGTACGTGGGAAAATTATGGAGTTTATTTCTTGGCAGAAAAATAATGCTGCGATTGCTAAAATCATTCCGATAAGAATTCATTTAGCAACTGTTCTTAAGCGGAAATGGCTGTCTTGAAATAGATCCTCCTGACTGATTTTGTAGTTGTTTTGTAGTGGGAAGCGAGTCGAGGTAACAGCGAAAACGTAGCCCTCGTCCTCATTCTCAATATTGATGAAATTTTTGTGAGAGGGAGGCTTTATTGCCAGGGGAACGATTGTGAAGTTAGTTGCTGTAAAAAACGCATAGCTGAAAACACGATTTGTGCTTGCTGAAGACGCCCTACGCGAATTTCAGTGAATTCAGAGCATCGCGCGCGCATAAAATAAAAGAAAACATCTTGATCACAGTAACTTAGCAGCAGAATACTCGTACTATGATGTCTTGTGAGTATTACGTTTCACTTTGATGTGGGAGCTATTTTGAGTATCAATCATAAAAGATAGCAAATGGCATAACATACCTGCTGTTCGGGAAAGGATTTCGGTGCCAAAACATACTCAGAATAATAAAACTCTGTTTGATCAAACGTTACCACCTTAGAATAGAGAGAGATAAAGATGCAAGGAAAGACAGGGAGGTTAACCAGACACACATCCGGTTTGCTACCCTGCACTGGGGAAGAGATAAAGGGGAGAAAAGAGGTTGCAGAGAGATGAGAAGGTACACACAATCACGAGCACGCTCGGGGAGCACACACAGTCTACAGGGGGTCGCTCAGGTTTGTTGACTTTAGGTAAAGTAGCAGTGCTTTAGTTGCTTTCTGCGCAACTGAGGCAGATGCCCAAGGTCCTGGTATCTTCTGCACACAAAATGATCCGGGGTCAAGTTGATTCAAAACAATCCGGAGCTGGCATCACTCTGTGTTGTAGCAAGCCAGCTGCACAGGACGTGTTCGATGGTCTCTTCAGCTCCGCAGTAGTCGCATGTAGGAGTGTCTGCCATACCAATGCGAAAGGAGTACACTTTTGTAAATGCAACACTCAACCAAATGCGGCATAACAGTGTCGCATCGGAGCGGGAAAGTTGTGATGGTAGCTTTAGCTTGAGCGAACGATCCAGTTCATAAAATTGACACCTTTGGAAGCTGGTAGACGAACAGAACGTGCGTGTGAGATCTCGAGCCAGCAGGTAAAGTTGTCTTGCTGCATCATTCCTTCATAGAGGAATCGGGACTACACGGGTTCCTTCATGGGCTGAGCGGGCTGCATCATCGGCTAATTGATTTCCGGTATTACCAATATGTCCAGGCAGCCATTGTTATATAAAATCATGCCCTCGTGCTAGAGCTTCATGATGGCAATGTCTTATTTCTTGTACCAATTGGTCATGACTCCTCCTACGCATGGCAGACTGCAAACTCTGAAGCGCTGCCTTCGAATCACAGAATATGACCCTTTTTTTGACGTTCTTGAACGAGATATTGTAAAGCAGCCCTTATAGCAGCAAGCTCTGATGCCGTAGATGTAGTCATATGCGACAACTTAAACTTGATTGTCATTGCTGCAGCCGGAATTACAGCGCTACCTGATGAGCTTCTGGACGAGAAGGACCCATCAGTGTATGTCTGCGTTCGGTCTAAGTACAATTCATGTAATAATAGCAGTGTTGCTTGCTTCAAGGCTACTCGGGAGTGATTGCTTTTCTTTTTGATTCCCGGAATTTCTAGACGTACTTGCGGCTGGTCGAGGCACCACAAAGGACATGCCGTTCTAGCAGCTGGCGTATATCTTGATAGAATGCTGTTTAGGTGCTTGGCTACGACGTCTGAAAACGCAGCACGTGGTCTTCCGGAGGGTAGAAGGTAGAGAGTAGAAGGAGGGTCATTGGTCTGGTGAAGTTTCTGCCAAAGTCGGTGTGCCTAACCATATACGCCGATGATATTTGCCTCTGGAGTGCTGCAGTTACTCGCCCTCAGGTGCGTGCATGAATACAGCAAGCAGCAACCTTCACAACAGCCTACCTTCAGAAACAAGGCGTAACTATATCAACTGTGAAGTGCGCGTTGATGGCGTTTACACGCAAACCAATGACGCCATACCCTGTTTACATCAATGGGCAGAGTGTCAAATATGCACGGACGCATCGTTTCCTGGGCATAATAACCGACAGAAGTCTTTCGTGGAGCCCACATTGTGCGTACTTGAAGAGGAAACTGCTATCTATTGTGCATATAATGAAATTAATGTGCGGGAAAGCATGGGGAACTTCTGTGGCCTCCATGCTACAGCTGTACAGGGCCCTATTTCTGGGTCTATTGCGCTACAGCTTGCCGGTACAGACTAAAACTTGCAAATACAATACTCAATCATTGAAGAGTTTGCAGGGTCAGGCACTGCGTATCTGCCTAGGACTGCCCCCGATGCGCGTCTACTTATGCCACAATCATGCTTGCCAAAGACCATCCGGTCAGGACATATATAGTGACCGCATTATTGTTATTGTGCTGCATATCGACTGCATGTTACTCGAAATATTTTTTCTCCGCAAAGTCACGAATAGTATGTCAAGAAATGTGGAGCTGCTAAGTAACAGTGATCCAAAGACTAGGAAAAAAAAGCGCTAGAGCTGATGGTTTTCCACTTCCCTTCCTCTTTTTGTCACCTTCGCCTCTCATACTGACCAGTTTTTCTACCATTATGGTTGAAAATATTATGACCTCGCATGAAATGCCGCATAAAAGTTGCTTTTGACGTAAACATAAAGCCTGATTACTTGGGTCAAAAAAAGAAGTAGAAGTATAAATTAAAATTAGAACTGCATTTCTCATGCCAGAACAAAGGCATCAGGTCACTGCAGCCACTTGAACGCAGTTTTACGAGAAAGGTGGTTGTCACAGGTCCCGCTAATTACGAATTCCGAAGGCCGAAGTATCGGCCCCCCGAACTGCACCACGAAAGCGTGGACAATTTAGAAGTGGTTTTATTTGGCGCGCCAGCGGACGCCGGCTGTAGCCCGAAGAACAATTCAGAGCCGAGAGTTGATAAACAAAACAAAACTATATTCTCATGATTGGCAGATCAAAACGATACACAATATATTCACACTCTACACAAGTTGAATACAATATGTCACCAATCAAACAACGTACTACACAGTACAATCAGCCACACTCGAAACAACGGACACAAACAACAATACGCACTACAATGCAGTCGCATGCATCGAATAAACAAAACACTTAAAGACTAAAGAGTTCGAAAACTTATTCAGCCCAAAGTCCTTGAAACAAAAGTCTGAATGATACTCTTCCGAGAATCACTCACTCAAAGTCTAGCGCTGTTGTCGTTCCGCTGCCCCCGAAGTTTCTCTTCCAGGAAACGTCGCGTCTTCGATTGGCCGCTGTCCAAGCTCCAAACTTCTTCGCCGGTAACACGTCGGCTTCCCACGCGCAGCGGTTGCCACGCGTCTTCGCTCGCTGGCGGTAGACATACACTCCTGCCTGTAGCACGAGTCTCCACTTCTCAGGAGGAAATCCTCTTCGCCGTGTCTTCGGCGAAGGTTTTGTCCTTAGCGGTCGCTAAGAACAAAACCTTTGCCGAAGACACGGCGGAAACACCCTATGCACTCTGGCGCATACTTTCGTCTCTTCCTTTGTCACTGAGGACAAAAGGCTTCGCCAACAAGGCGGAACACCCTACGCACACTGGCGCAAAATTCCTTCTTCTCCTGCTTTCCCATCTCCGCTGCTCGGTTAAATACGCTCCGCGTTAGATTGCAGAAAATTCTCATCGTTTCGTTGGCGCGATACGCAGCGAAGGCTGGGGAAAGCGCGAGACGGTTCGAGGGCCGTCCGCGACAGATGAAGCAACTCTGCATCACCACGCCCCTTTCCCTCGAGAACTTTCCAGGGCTTGCTCGGCCACCGATGTGAGGAGGTTAGTCGGCGAACCTACGCTTCCGAGGGGAGAGGGACGGCGCACCCATGGAGTCTTTGGATGTATGTTTTCTTCTTTATCGTTGACCTTGAGGCGTCCCTCTAGCGCTTGGGTAGCGAGAATTCGGCGGCGCGCCCTTTTTAGAGCACTTGTTTGTGACAGTAGTGAAATATAAGCAGGCTTTCTTACCGCCCCGCTTTCAGTCTTGGCACCACTTCTGCCTCATCGAAAAAAAACTTTCTCAAAACACTGCATGCTTCAATGCAACTTAATCCCATCCAATTTTTATTTAGAGGCGTAAATTACAGGCATTGCTCTCCATGCTATAAGTTTGAGGAGGTGGAACACCCGTTCCTTCTTGTCTCACCATTTATGGTAAATGAATAAATAAATAAATAATTTTTTCCGCGAGTCATATCAAGTTTCCTGCTCTTCTATTTATTTCCTTTATTTGACTGTTGTACGTATATGTCAGGCTATGTACCTTGAACAACATGAATGCTATTTATAGCAGAAGGACAGTGTAGGAGCGACTAAAGTGAGTTGGATGCATTTGGAGCATCGTAACCTCCTTGGAAGAAAAATTCATCGTTCTGTCACTTAGTTGTACACAAGAACTTTGATTTTCATAGGCGTTATAAAACGTGTTGCAAAGGACTCTTTTAGAAAATAATCGAAAATTGACACCCTTGATAAAACAGTCTTCATTAACAAATTCAAATAAAATTATGCACGTAAAGGCCACTAAGCTTATATCGGACATTTAAAAATACCATATGAAAGCTTTCGGCTCAATAACGAGAAATGGACAACTTACCTGGAGGGTGGACGATTATTGCGTCAAAGGTACCACTAGCAAAAACGCTCACTGATATAAAAGTTCCTTCCAAGGTCTTGTTAACCCTAAAAGTGTTTTAATAGTGTCAGCACAGCATGATGAGTGCTTGATTGCACACGATAGTGTTTTACCAATTCTCCCCTTTGCAATAACTTCTCTTGAAGAAAACGAAACTGTCAGTTTGATTAGCAACCTCGTCGACTTTGCATGTCACAAGCCGTTTTGTTGTCCGCAAGGTATATATTGCCGCATTTGCAGTGTAGAACTGTAATACACCGAACATTTCTGTTCAAATTATAATCAGTTATCTGAATTATCATTCGAAGGGCAGGTATGATAGTTACATAGCATAAAAAAGAAAAAAGAACCGGAATAATTATGAAACAGTGTTCTCCTATCCGTGTCTTAACTTCTTTCTCAAAGGAGTGCACATTTCACCTTTTGCTTGCACTTTCTCTTTTCACCTAGCTGGGTATACAAGTATTTTATGTTGCAATGTGAGTAAATATGTTTTCATCGCTATATTACTAAGGAAGCAGAAGAACACTATTTCCTTACTAATAAATTATATTCGTATTAGCTGGGCTGTCCTGAGGGTCTTTTCTTATTCGCGTTCTGTTCTATCGGGTGCAAATAAGATGTAATACTACTGCACTTATACATCCCCGCGAGATCGCTTATATATCATCCGAAACATGCAATAAATAAACAGAATGTGGTTTAAACCGTCCGCGATTCACATTCTTCTCCTACCTATGGTGGTTGGCATCGTGGTATCCCTGCCATGGTAACGTTGAGGGGAAAATGAATGATGTAATTAAAGCTTTACTGCAGAAATGAACCTCCAAACTATCAACAGCTGTTTTAAGCGCTATCGCTGTTTTCTTTTATAGTGAACTTCACCGCGGTGGTGTAGTGGCTAAGGTACTTGGCTGCTTACCCGCAGGTCGCGGGATGAAATCCCGGCTGCAACGTCTGCATTTTCAATGGGGGCGAGAATTCTGTAAGCCCCAGTGCTCACATTTCGGTGCACGGTACTGCACTTTAGGTGGTCGAAATTTCCGCATCCCTCTACTTTGGCGTCTCTCATATAAATATGGTGGTTTTGAGGCGTTAAACTGCACATATCTATCATCTTTGTTTTCATGTGAATGCAGATGTCAAGACCACAACCATTTGCCAACATAGTGGCAGTTTGAGCAGCTCTAACACTTTCTCACAAATTGGCATTTTAACAGTTTATCGTATGACGCATCACTGTTACAGTGTTTCATCAGGCACCAGCATAGTTCTGGTATGCATACGCTATGAATTTTACATACGGTGTGCCGGCGCAGTATTGCTATTGTGATTATAGAGTTAAAGTAGGTAGTCCTGTGACTGAGTTACGCATGATCCACAGCAGAAAAAGCTTGCATACTAGGCAATAAAAACAATTAGGAAGATCCCACGTACCTGACAATCAACGTTATGTGAAACATGCGAAGGGAACGTTACCGTGTTGCAATTTCTTATTTAGCAACACGCCAACAAATGATGCTAAATATGTGTACAAGCTTTGCACGCACTGACATACATTGAAGATTTGTAGATGTTTATATAACCAGTTGTTTGTACTTGCGCAACCATGCCAACTGGAACATGCGTATTAGCTACACCAAAAACTGATACGAAGCGCTGATGCTCGCGAGGATGCTGGCCCTGGACACGGCTACATAAATCAGCTTCTGCGCATGACAACTAACCACAGTTGACGTTAACCCGACGTGACGGCTGTTTCAAAGAAGTACAAATGTAACGTTTTTAAAATTAGGTAGCCAGCACTAGAACCACTAGTAACGTTTCCCGAAGATTACCGCCTATTCGAAAAGTAGTTTCGAAAGATGGCGTAGCTCTGTGGTAAAATGCTTTATTGCCACGCAGAATGCTTGGGTTCAATTCCAGCTGGCACCCTGACATTTACTTTTTGCAATCGCCTGGTGGACGCGAGCGTTGCCTGATATTTCTTGACATTTCCGGGTTTACATTGTACATGTTTGTTCTCGTCGTTCCTGGGAAGGAGGCGGAGGGAGAAAGTTTAAATGGAAGGACAGGGAGGTTAGCCAGTTCTTAGACCAGCTGGCTACCGTGTACTGGGGAAAGGGGTGAAGGGAATGAAAATGTTAAAAAGAAATGTTGCGAAGAGAGAGAGAGAAACTACAAAAAAATTTTAAAAAATGCGACAGAGGAAAGGCAGCATCGAAGAGTATAAGACACTAAAGTATGTCTCTGAGGCCAGTTGTCCACAAAAAGCGCAGCAAAGCTTTCAAAGGCTTCTGGGCTCCGCCAATGGGCTCGGCCAATGACCCAGAATCCTTTGTTCTGCCAAAGGCCACTCGTCTAGTCTATCCTGAGCTGCAGTGAGTTCTTGTCTTTGCGCGTTAAAGTGGGTTCACTCACACAGATGGTGCGTGATGGTTTTTTCGCAGCTGCAGTAAGTGCATGTAGAAGAGCTGGCCATTCCAATGAGATAAGAGTATGCGTTCCTGAAGGCTGCTCCAAGCCACAGGCGGCATAGAAGAGTCTCCTCAACTGAAGATATTCTTGAGGGAAGACGAAGTTGCAGATCGAGATCCAAGTTATGCAGGTACGCGTTTGTGAAGTCTGTTGAGTTCCACTGTACCAGTGTGAGGTCACGCGCAAGCGAACAAAGTCTTGTAGCTGTGTCGGTTTTTGAGAACGGGATGGCTGTGTATTCGGTACCGTCGTGCGCAGATCTAGCGGCCTCATCTGCGCGGTCATTGTCATATATACCGCAATGACCTGGTATCCACTGATACACTATGCTGTGCTGTTTCTCGATTGCTTGGTGATTAAGAAGCCTTATTTCATCTACTAACTGTACATTAAGTGTATGGCGAAAGAGTGAAATGAGATACAAAGTCTCAATCACTTGTGACACATACCCGCATAAAAGTGGCACATACCTACCCGTGGGTATGTGCCGCTGCCTGGCGGGAAGTGTTTAATGACGTACGCGACAGAATTGTGACGTTATTCGTGTCTTCACCAGCGCGTCAAACTCGCCAAATAATCTTACGTTCCCATGGAAGTTTTTTTTTTTCACGCCAAGTCAAGTGGGTGACAACGAGAGCCCCAGAACGCTGCTAGATAAATACGTTCAAAGGCATCGAAGTTCGCTAAGAAAAACTTCGCTTCTAGAAGTTGAACGTAATATGGACATCCTGTTCCTTGTGCGTACTTTAAACACTTAGTGCATTAAACCTTTTCGAATTTGCTATGCACCCACTACGTTGCCTTAAGAATATAGGCCCCTCTAGCGTGTGTGGCTTTTATAGTAGGTTTGTGGCTTTCAACCACGCACGGAGCCATTAGGATAACCAAATATTCTGACGCCTGTTGGTAATGGACGCTTGTACCACGTATTATTGATGCAGTATTTCATGTTGCATTGTGAAGCTTGTGTACAGGACGCCTGTGTTTGGGAAGCGTGAAAGCGACTCTCACTGCATTTCTAGGCAGAGAAAGTTATTTTCACTGTTTTCATTAGCAGGGGCATGGCCGTGTGGTAGAACATCCGCTTGCCACGCAGAAGACGCGGGTTTGATCCGCACTTGGAACGAAACAACCCTAGATCGGTTCCCACTCTGCCGACACTGGAAGTTTCGCAAAACGAGCTCTTTAACGCTATCGCCTCAATGTATGCATATAGTCTACAGTGCGGAAATACATGAACAATTGTTGTATAAAGACCATGGACAAATACCCACTTACTACTGACATTTATTCGCCCCGAGATTTTTTAATTGCTTTCACTCGCTTGTGATGTTCATTGCAGAGCTGATGAGCTGCTCTTCACCCACTTGTTTGCTGCTAGAAGCTGCTTGACGCTAAAGAAGAGTCTGCCTTGTTAGAGTTTATAAAACATCACTGAAAAATCTCATATATCATTTTTCACCAAATGTGTATGCAATATTCCCCACGAAAAATTTTGCAGGTTTTGCATTAAAAGCACGTGCAGTGTCAACGACTACTGGTGTTGTTTAATAACATCAATGTTTAGGTTTGAATGTAAGACAAAGACATTTTTTATGACTGTAATCTTGCCTTGCTGTGACTCAAAATGACTAGATGGTTTGTTGTAGACGACTCGCTGTAGTTTTTAGACATTGGTTTTCATGTGTGCGCTGTAGAGCAATAGATGTATACATGTGGCTGCATCCATTCATTTGGAAAGTCTGGTCGCTTGGTTTAATTACGTGGATCTGACCTTGAAGCGTGTCGCATACGGTCTGCCACGTCATACAAGTAATTTAGGCAGTCGTTTCAGGCAAGAACCTTCATTATATCCATGTTTTCAGCAGCGACTCTCTAGGCGCGTTGGAAATGCTTGAATTTTAAACAAAAAAAGGCGGACACTACGAGGAGAAAGTGAGAACACGATGGTAATTTCACATATTATGAGAGGTAGTGTCAAGCTCTTTTATGCATAATAATTCTGAAACTTTCAAAGGTCGGCACATCTCACGTAGCTTCAGCATTGATGTTATTCGAAGCATGCGGATTCAAGGTAAATGTGTTTCAACTTTTATTGACCAAGACGTTCAGAAGTGGCACTCATTATACGCACAACTCCACGCCCCCACGTACGTTAAACAGCCACATATGTTTTATATTAGTAGTTGTTTGTAGTTGCATATATGCCAACAGCAACATCAATGTTAGCAACACCAGAAGCGGTATGCAGATAAGGAGCGCTGGTGTTTGCACTGGGCTCATCACAAGGACGGTAGGCCTCAACACCGCTACACAAATCAACATCAGCAGATGGCGTATAGCTACAGTTGACGTTAACTCAACATGAGCTGTATCATAGGAGTATATATATGTAATATTTATAAAATTTGATAGCGAGATTTGACGACAATTGACATTTTACAACATTAGCGACTATTTGCTAAGTATTTACGAGACCTTGTGTTGCTCTGTGATTGATTACTTCATTGCCACGCAGGATGCTCGGGTGCGATTTCTGCTGTTGCACCGACATCTATTCTGTTCATTC